ATAGTGCATATATCGCTGACTTAGGGCTTTCGATGTCAGATAATGAAGGATCAGATAGTAAAATATATGGTGTAATTCCTTATGTAGCGCCTGAAGTATTATTGAAGAAGGAATATAGTATGGCATCTGATGTGTATTCTTTCGGAATCGTGGCATATGAAATAGTATCAGGCCATCTAGCATATTCCGACACTTCACATGATATCCAATTGGCGCATAAAATTTATAAAGGTTTTCGTCCGAAAATTCTCACATATATACCAAAACAAATAGCTGACTTAATTATTGAATGTTGGGCTGACTATCCAAACAGAAGACCACCTTCTAAAAAAATTTGCGATACCCTAAATATACTGATTAAGGATATTGAAAGCAATGCGTCAACTGAATTCATTATGCAAATAAAAAAGGCTGATGAATTATCACCTACTCTAGTGTGTAAAAATTTTGCGGATACCGATATACAGTCCATTCATTCCCGTAATTATTACTTTTGCAATTTTATAATTTTCGTATTCATTTCAATATTATTATTCTAACAATAATTATTATTTAAAGATACCCAAAGCAAACAGTTGGAGATAGAAAGCTTAATCATAGATCCACTTTTAAGCACACAAAATGACGAAATTGAAAAGAATAAGCAAAAAATATTCAATTATTATAATTATTATACAGAAATCGAGCGTTTAGATGAAGTATTTTATGAAAACAAAGTTGGAAAGAATGAAAAATTTAATTGTTCAGGTAATATTACTTTTGCAATATTATAACATGTTGTTCTATTTTCCTGTCCGCAAGTATATGCGCCTGAAATTACAAAAAAAAAACCATTTATTTTGACGGAATTTTAGATCTAATTATAATTACTCATGAAAATAAACTTGAAAATTGTGTACATACCAGTCAGCCTAATTATTCAGGTAATAATATTTTTGTGATATTATAATAATGTGTATTGACGTCATTCTGATAGCATTTAACAATTAAGATGGTCAGATGAACACTAAAAAAACCGAAGTTAACGATTCCGAAAAAATATTACTCGTTGGTCATAATTATCGTTGCGGAATGGGAGTTGAAAAAGATGAACATAAGGCATTTATTTATTATCAAAAATCTACCGATATGGGTAGTGCCAAAGGAATATATATGGTTGGATATTGCTATAACAAAGGAATTGGGGTTGAAAAGGATGAACATAAGGCTTTCATTTATTATCAAAAATCTGCTGAGATGGGTGACGCTAGTGGAATGTCTGCACTTGGAAGCTGCTATCATAATGGAATTGGAGCCGAAAAGGATGATCATAAAGCATTCATTTATTGTCATAAATCTGCTAATATGAATGATGCTAATGGAACATACAATGTTGGTGCTTGTTATCAAAATGGAATTGGCGTTGAAAAGGATGAAAATAAGGCATTCATTTATTATAAGCAATCTGCTGACATGGGATATATTCTTGGAATTCATCGAGTTGGACATTGTTATCAAAATGGAATTGGAGTTGAGAAGGACGAATACAAGGCATTTATTTATTATCAAAAATCTGCTGAAATAGGTGATTCTAGTGGAATATATAATGTTGGTGCTTGTTATCAAGATGGAATTGGAGTCAAAAAGGATGAATATGAGGCATTCATTTATTATCAAAAATCTGCCAAAATGGGGCATTCTTGTGGAATGCACAGCCTTGGAGATTGCTATTTAAATGGAATCGGAATTGAAAAGAATGAACATGAGGCATTCGTTTATTACCAAATATCATCTGAGATGGGCGATTTTGTTGGAACATATAATGTTGGACATTGTTATCTTCATGGAATTGGAATTGAAAAGGATGAACATAAGGCATTCATTTTTTATCAAAAATCTGCAGAGATGGAGCATCCTAGTGGAATAACTATGGTTGGATATTGTTATCAAAATGGAATTGGTGTTGAAAAGGATGAACTTAAGGCATTCATTTACTATCAAAACTCTGCAGATATGGGAGATGCTGCTGGAACAAGTAACGTTGGATACTGTTATAAAAATGGAATTGGTGTTGAAAAAGATGAATGTAAGGCATTCATTTATTATCGAAAATCTTCAGAGTTGGGAAACGCTAGTGGAACATATAATGTAGGATATTGTTATCATAATGGAATTGGAGTTGAAAAAGATGGATCTAAGGCATTCATTTATTATCAAAAATCTGCCGAGATGGGAAGCGCAGATGGAACATATAAGGTTGGAGATTGTTATCGAATTGGAATTGGAGTTCAAAAGGATGAACATAAGGCATTCATTTATTATCAAAAGTCTTCTGATATGGGTTATGCTAATGGAGTATATAGAATTGGTTATTGTTATCAAAATGGAATTGGTGTTCAAAAGAATGAACATAAGGCGTTCGTATATTATCAGAAATCTGCTGATATGGATAATATTGATGGAACGTTTAATGTTGGTTATTGTTACGCTAAAGGAATTGGAGTTGAAACCGATGAACATAAGGCAACTTTTTATTTTCAAAAATCTGCTGAAATGGGTCATGCTTGTGGAAAGCACTTGCTTGGATATCATTATCAAAATGGGATCGGAGTTGAAAAAGATGAATATATGGCATTCATGTATTATCAGCAATCTGCTGAGATGGGAGATGCTGATGGAATTTTTTACGTTGGAACTTGTTATGAAAATGGAATTGGGATTGAAAAAGATGAACAAAAATCATTTAATTATTACCAAAAATCCGCTGTTATGGGTCATAAAAATGGAATTTTTAAAGTTGGAAAATTTTATCAAAATGGAATTGGAGTTGAAAAGGATGGATTTAAGCCATTTATTTATTTTAAAAAATCTGCTGATATGAATAGCGCTGATGGAACATATATGATTGGTTATTGTTATTATCACGGAATTGGAACTGAAAAGAATGAACGTGAGGCATTAATTTATTATCAAAAATCTGTAGATATGTCTCACACTTTAGGAACATACGACGCTGATCGTTATCAAGCATATGATGATACAGGTGATTATAATAGAACGAACAGTCACGTCTAAAATGGAATTATAATGGAATTATTTGTTTTTTAAATTATTATCGCGAGTTAGCAGGAATCTGTTGAGATGTGTGAACAAATATTTTGATAAAATAAAGTTGTTGTGGAAAAGGACAGTCTAAATAGCTATTGTCACGTATATGACGGTAACCGAAGTAAAAGCGACGATCAAAAGCTTAAAATAACTTTACAGAATAATAACACTGATAGAGTAAAATAAACTATGTAATTAGTAATAGCGTCATTATTAGAGTATTAAACGTAAGGATATAAATAAGAAATATAAAGAGAAAGATAAGTGTTAGCTTAGAATAGATTAGTTTAGTTAAAGAGCTTTGCAGATTTTGGATAAAGAGAATAATCAATATTATCGTCAATAACATTTTAAATAAATAAATAAGCGAGTGTTAGATTTCGGTGCTAAACTACTAGTATCGCTTAACCCCGTGACAGCTATTTACAGGAATAAAGCATTATGTAGCAATTTTTACTTATGAAAATTTTGAGCACTGGTAGAAGTTGTATATTTGTTAGCAAATATATTTAAATACACATTACCTAGTAATTAAGTACATATTTGTAACAAATTTTTACAATGTATCAGGTATAAATTAGGTTAATTTATAATTAGATATTATGTCACAAGAATTATGCTCTCATGTGAGGCAAATCTCTATTTATATTTCGATAATCAATAACTTAAATTTTTATTTTTTTATTTATATAAATATCTGGCAATGTTAAGTTTCAATTTTTTAATAAAGGGGTTTTTTTATCTTTTCATATATAAGTCCAGAATTAATATTTTTTTTATTTAAATTTTTTTTCATTGATTAGAAGATAAATTGAATATTTGAATTGAAAAACAAGAACTAGTATGTAAATACTATCTTCTTGTTATTAATAATATTTTTAAATAAAAGATTTTATTAGATTTATTTAGAATTTTAAATTATGGAGTCTATTATCTTAATTTATAATAAACAAAAGTTCATATAACGATGGAATCAATATAGCAAACGGTCAATATATGAAAAAATAAAACAGTTGTTATAAAGATACAAAAATAGGATGAAGGACGCAGGTTGAAAATTTTTGTGACCAAATTGGATACGGAACTTGTAGAGGAATTCTCGGTTCTATATATAAATGCATTTAGGTCTGATCTCATTTATGAACTTTGATTATCTCATATTTATTAATTGTAAAAGCTCATAGTTTGAGATATAGATGTTTATGTGTTAGATACATTTGACTTAAAATATGGTTAAATGTAAAATATATTCTAGGTACTCGTGTTAGATATGAACTCTAGTGGTCTTAAAAAGGGCTTAGCATATATCTTTTTATCAGTTAACTTTATACAATTGTGGCAGAGAAAGTTGTGATACGTAATTAAGGAAGGCAGACAAATATTTGTACGTTTGTGATAAATTTAATAAATTGAGCCCCAAATTTCTAAGGTAAACTTTTCGTGCCAAACAACCATGTCACACCTCAAGTGAAGTTTGTTACAGTTAGTTTTTATATTATTCATTATGTTCACCAGTTATACTCCCGTGAAATTATAAAGTAAAGCTATAAAGAGATCCTTTCAACTTCAAGAAATAAACAATCTTACTTATTCGAATGCTTATAAAGAATTAATGATCAGATTTCTAATTTAAAATAAGATTAGTGGCATATTTGTTTTGATAAATGATCTATAAATTCTTTTTTTTACTCTTATTTTATTTTTTTGATTTCAAAAATTTAGGATTTTTTAAACTTAGCTTTATTTTCGAATTAAAATAAAATTTGAATAACTAATGGTCATGAAGCATATTTTAAGTATTTTATTGATCCTATTAATTTCGATAGTCTATGAGCTTGTTGCGATTAGCAATAATAAAGTTATTGTGATTCGTTCTGCAAAACCAATCAAAAATAAAATATGGGAAAATTGGAATGGAGCAATTCGTATTTCGCCAAAATGCTATTTTTGAACCTTCCACGCTTGAAGACCTTATAGATATTGTAAATCTAGCAAAGATAAATAATAAAACTATTAGATGTGCAGCACAAGGGCATACTGAAAGCTCTCTGTCTGTCACAAAGCACTACCTAGTGGTAGTTACAAAATTAAATCAGATCACAGTGCAAGAACATCCAAAGTATGGTTGGACTATTACTGCTGAAGCTGGTAACTATATATATATGTATATAAATATATTCATTCATGATAATGATGGAAAGAATTATTATTAATTAAAAAATAGGTACTCCATTATCTGATGTTGATAAAGTACTTCGAAATCATGATCCACCATTAACTCTTGATTCTGAAACTTTATATGACACATTTCGAGTATCTGTGTTGTAGCAACAGGATCACGTGGTGCAAGGACCAGTTCAGGTATTATGTCAGATCAACTTTGCTCAATGAAAATTGTCACTGGCTCTGGAGAAGTGTGTGAACTTAATGAAGAAGTAAGCGAATCAGAATTTAATGCGGCGAAAGTTAACCTAGGTAACTAATAAGCTTTTAATTTTTAATCATACACTTTTCCTTCATTATCTAACTTTATTATAGTTCAGGTTTACTTGGTATAATCTATTCATCGACTTTCCGTGTACAACCGATATACAATCTTCGTATGACTGATAACTTTGTCCCGATAAACGAATGGCTTAATCCAATGAATATCAAAAATCTTTTAGAGTCATCTGATAGTATTGAATTATTTTATTGGCCATTCAATGGATTCAATCAGAGTGATCCGAATCCTCTTGACTCTAATAGAGATTGAGTTTGGGTTAAGAATTGGGTACGAACTATTGAACCTTTGAGCTTCACACAACAACTCAAACAATTAAATGAAGCAAAAATACAAAGTACTATAAGTTCAGAAGTAGTCTTATACAAAATGCACCAAAGATTACTGCCATGTTATGGGATGATTTTATTAGTAGTGGTAATGTTAATTATGTATTTCAGGCTCCTGATACTTTTCATTTTTTAGCTAGCGAAGAAAGTGTCAAGTATGATCTAATGGAAATTGGGCTCAAAATTGATCCGGATTTCTTCAATGTCGTTATCGAATTTTCTCATATAGTCCAAACAGTAAGTTTATTATCGTTCTAATATTCTGTTTCTAATATTCTATTGGTTTTTGATGCTCTTTAGAATAATCTTATTATATATATAGCTATATGAATTTGCAAGAAAAGGAAAATTTCCATTAAATTATATTATTTATAAAATCAACTGAAGCTTTATTATCTCATGCTTTTAATCATGATTCTGAAGCATTGTATTATCAAATAAATTTTCAGACAGTTACTGGTACTCAAAGCTGGGAAGAATTTGCGCAATTAATGGCACAGAGATATTTTGACAAATACAGGGCAAAGTAAGAAATGATTAAAATTTTTTTTTATTTGCAATGAATTTCATTAATTCACTAATTACACACTCATTTACTATAGACCTCATTGGGCAAAAAGATGGGAATTTATTCCAAATCTGAAATCTTATCTTTCTGATGTTTTATCTGATCAAATTAAACAATTCGAGAAAGTACGTGCAAAATACGATCCTGATAAAATTTTCTTTGATAATAAATCTTTACAAGATATTTTAGTAGTGCTTTAAGTTCATGAGATAATAAAGGCACAAAGGAAAAGAAAAATCAATGATAATACTAGATTACTTTTGGAATCCAACAATATTAGAATTAGTTAATCGAATATAAAGCACAAAAACGGTTTATTTAACACGTATTATTACTCGTTTACATAAATAGTAAAAGACAAAACAACCTGTCGAAATTGCAAAACACCAAGTACGCAAAACCTTTCCAAATCTAATTTTATATCCATTACTTACTGGCAACATAATATCAATACATATCTATAACTATTACCCTCCACCCCTAATTATCTGCATATCTTGTCCCGGCTGTAACAGTGAAACCACAAAATCTAGCAAAATGTTACTATCCTTCTTAATTTACCCAACAACACAGATATGTATCTGAATTTACAAAAATTAAAATTAATAGTTAATGTAGTGTTAATATTGCCACTATTCAACAATTAGTTGTAATATTACACAATCAGACAAATCAAAAAAGTTTACTTAAATGAAAAAAAACAATCAAAATAGCTTTGTGATAACAAACAGGTGAATTTATTAAAAGAGTTTTAAAACTTCACTGCTTGTAAAAACATTGGAATTGCAAGCATATCGGGTTTTCTTAACTTTTTTCAAACGCATTTTTTTTTTTTTAAATTGCACTTAAACTTTTTTATGTTGTCACGACTGTAGACAAAAATAAAATTCATTTTGGCAAAAAATAGTAGTAAAGATGTTTTGCATTGTGCTAGCTTCAATTAGTAACTTAGCAAATCCTATTCTACATTTTCTTACAAATTATAAATTATATGTAAAATAGCTATTGTTTTTAAACGATTGTCTTCAACACAAACTTCTAGCTTATGAACAGAAAAGTGCAGATACAAATGGATATTGAGACAAAGTTTCAATGCGAAAATAAAAAATAAAAAAGATTTTAAAAGCTTTTTTACTACTCAAGTAACAAACACTATAACAAGATGATAGAATTTATAAATTAAATGAGAAGAAAATTTATCCCAGAAATAACGTGATTGGATATTTTAGAAAGTTTTAATAACTAAGAAAAAAATAACTATAGTAGCGCTTTCTTAAGAGCATGTCGCATAAACACAAACTCATATTTTTATATAATTTAATTCTAAATATAAATTTGGGATTTATACGGTACTAATATATTCTGAATACTTTTTCGTATCATATAACTTGCTAGTGTACATTTCGGGTGAATGTATTTGCTTATTCTGTCCTGGTTTAATCTTATTAGCTTCCAAAAATTGTTCTTTTATTTCATTATCACCTTCCTTATCGATTTCATCTAACCAACGAGTGATTATTTCAATTATTTCAGTTGCAGTAGGTCGTTTATCAATATCGTTGTCCATACATTTCATAACTAATTTAATATAACAATCAGGTCCTAAACATTTAGGTCTTGTTACATTAATGATACTTGATACAAGATCACTGTTAAACGGAATTCCATCAAATGCTCTTTGTCCGGTCGAAATCTCTGTCGCGATAACCCCAAGACTGTAAATATCTGATGCTTGAGTATACGGTTGATCTACCAAAACCTCTGGTGCTATATACGGCAGAATTCCACAAATTTTTCCTTCGCCTACTTTTTTAGAAAGTCCAAGATCAGTAATATATGCGTTATACGAACGAGTTTGCAAAATATTCCCGCTGTGTAAATCTCTGTGAATAAGTTTCTGAGAATGAATTGATTCAAGGTCTAAAACTATATCGTACAAAATATTCAATTTATCTTTCCATTCTAATTGTGATACTTGTATAAGATTTTGTCGTAACGATCCTTTTGGTGCTATATACATAACAATAATATAATCACCATAATTATTTCTTGATACTCAAAAACATTGCAAGAACGAAGGATTCTCGTAACCAATCTCACAGTAATTCTTCAATTCATGGATAAATTCTTGCGCATTATTGTTTGAATCATGAATTACTTTAAGTGCAACATCACGCTATGCTTTATTTCCGAACCATATACAGTTGCAAATCCTCCTTTTCCCATTCCTTGGTAACTTTGAACTCATTATAATCGATCCAAGATAATTTAAATCTCTCATTGTCTAATATTTTCTTAAGTTCAGAATTGATATGATCTGGTGATTTATTAATTTTCAAAAGACTTCTGTATTTTTTGAACCAATAATTTGCCTTTTGAATATCTCTCTTTGTACCAATACCGTTACGATAACATCGAGCAACATTGTCTATTGCTGCTACAACATCCATATTAGCAGATTTTATATAATATTCAAATGCTTTATTATAATTTTGTTCAACTCCACCTCCACTTTCATAAAGACCACTAATACTATTCATTGCATAAATATTATCTAAATTAACCGATTCCTTAAAATATTCAAATGCTTTCTGGTAATTTATTACTACTCCAATTCCATATTTATAACAAATACCAACTTCAAATATCGCATCTTAATTTCCTAAATTGGCTGCTTTCTTATAATGTTCAAAAGCTTTCTTTTCGTCTTTCTTAACACCAACACCATGTTGATAATTGTAACCAAGATCGCTAAGTTGTTCAGAATCCATTTTTTCAAAGAAGGAAAAATTTTCACGCCTATATAAAATAGATAATTTTAATTATCCGGAGCGTAGCGGAGTGCGTTTATTTAATGTTTAATCAAGGTGATACAAAAGTCACATCACTAACTGCATATGCAAAATATTAACAATTGTCCGAAGCGCAGTGTTAGACCGTACTCGTGGTCTTCCGGGACAACCTAATCCAACACACAAACAAATCAGAAAACCTATCGAGAGTAGGAATTGGAATCGGTTTAGTCGACTAAACGTAGTTGCTTATTATAAAAACTTTAGTCAACTAAACCGAAATCGAGAGAGGCGTGTGATATTTGGCGAATGGATAGTTCAAGGCTTTGATCGTCGGTATTTCGGGGGTAACCTCTTATCACATACAGCAGTTATTGTCAGTAACTCTTTTACAAACCAAAGCTAATATAAAGTGTATACTTACTATTTTATAATCGGTATTGGACTGGAGTGTTTTATACTACATTGGAAACTTTTTTCTTAACAATATTGGCGTGATAAACGCTATATTTGTTTTTTTTTTGGTGCAAAGTGAAAAATTAAGAGTAATGCTTGCATTTTGCTATGTACATAAAGTGAAAAATTAAGAGTGATGCTTGCATTTTGCTATGTACATAGATGTCAAAATACAAAACAAGGTAGTTAATTAAACAATACTGTAACTATATGATATTTGATTACTTACTACAGTTATATTGGTTTAGCTATTCCACTTGTTTTAACGTCCCATTCATTTTATCCATTCTATCTGCCCTATCTATTCCAACTAACAAGGTAGGTTATTAGTAGGCTCCTTTAATTAAATATCACAGCAATTATTTATTATATTGGGTTACTTACTTACTTAAGTTTCATTAGCTCTAGCCATTCTAGTCACTCCTGCCATCAAATATACAAAACAAGGTAGTTATTTATAAATTTATTATTAATGTAATTCAAAGTTATAAAATTTTAAAATTCAATTTTAATAATTAAAGGCTAAGAATTAGAGCTCCAGCCCACAAAACGCTGCTATTTTTCTAGTTAGTAAAACAATCTTTGTGATATAAAATAGCTTTTATTATACTGATCATGCCGAAAAATCATTTGGTCAATTTTATTCAGTTGTTTCACGAATTATGAAAATAGCAGTAATTTGAACCACGGCCTAAATTAAATTAAATTTAATTTAGGCCAAATTTCATATTTACACTTCTGCGTGTTATTACGCGCAAATATGGTAAGGAATAGTGAAGAATTTAGATAATTAGAGCAAATTAGAAGGTTTTAGTAATAGAGTCATTTTTGAGAATAAGTGCTAAATAGACATAATGGACGATTCTAATAGTATAGTTCTTGTGACTAATTATTATAAATAAAGGCAATACTATCCTCTAAGAATATTAACGAGCTCTTACTTTATTAAAATAATAAAGTACCTAAGCCATGTATATTATAAACTACATTTGTTAATTTAACCATTCACCAAACCTAACACGCCTCTTTCATACCGTATCCTGTTGGTCGGTTGCTTGAACGATTGCTGCGGAACAATTGATGATCGATTCTCGTTTAACAATGGCATATCATTTACGATATAAAGCAGAATTCTTTATACCATCTTTAGCATAAAAGAACTCAAATTACTAGACTGATTTAATTTCAAGAACTTTTAAAGTTTATTGAAATAAAGTGATTAATGAAACTAAAGAATGCAATAGACGTCTACCGCTAACTGGTATAAAAATTCAAATGTAAAGGTGAAGTAAAATCAATTTTTTACAATGTAAAAAGTTCTACTTAATTATTATATGGATTTGAGATTATACAGCGTATATAGGGATGGAAAGCGTAATGTTAAAAATCATTTTGTTTGGTTTAAAAATGTATTTATGATTTAATACATTCTGGCGTAATCATAATCTACAATGGGTAGTATTTATTTATTTAACTAATTTCGTCAAAATGCAACTTTGTTATCTCTATAAACAATTATGCTCCGTGGGAGACCTCCATTAAAAGAAATTCGCGTGAACTTCACAAAAGTTACGGACTAGTCGAACTACACCTTCGCCAAATGTTAACTTTGTGGATTTAGTCGCTCTATTAAAGGATCACTTACATAAAAGCAAGAGTTTCCAAAAAGTATAAAACATGCATGCCTCGGATAATGCTGATACACAAGCTTCGGTCAAATGAAATAAAATTACATTAACCAAATTAAATGATGATAATTAAATAGTTATACATTTAACGTACAAAATAAATATATAAATATACTTCTTGTAATTATATAATGAACGAAAGTTTATAAAGAGAATATTTTTTCTTTAAAAGTTATCTCTACGAAACTTGGTGATTCTAATTAACCAATCAGAATCGGCATTTTAGCCCAACTAAATTTTAGTCTCAGCGTCAATGTTTTAAAA